GTACTCAACAGCATTTGGGCTGGTTCCGTTGAAAAAAAAAACCTTTGTGACAGAGGGCCGTCTTCACACCCCTGTGGCAAGACCCGGGCCATCTAGCCTAATTTGTTTCTGAAAGCCCTGGTGACCGTGCCCTAAATGTCCATAAGAGTCCTGAATAATCACTGTCCTTAGATCCTCCTGCGACTAAAACTCTGGAGCTATAATTGTACTTGGACTTGCACTAGTACTTATGGTATATCTTACTTTTCATGACACTATAAGAGGAATAAATTGATGCCTCCTGGGCGAGCGCTCTCTGCCTCTGTCCAGGCTCCGTGCAGCTTGGTGGGCCTCGCGCCTCGGAGCTAGGTGCGGTGCTAGCCTAGCCGAGTCCTTGGCCACAGACTCCAGTCTGTCCACCAGGGTCTGCATGTCAGGGCCGAAGAGGGACGTCTGGGACACGGGCAAGTCCAACAGTTGCCTCTTCTCCGCTTCCCTGATGTTAGCTAGCCCAAGCCAGAGGTGCCTGGCCCCGACTTGGGCTGCAGCCACGGTGCGGCCACCATCGACGGCAAACGCCTGGCTCATGCGCAGGAGAGCCGCGGAGGTGGTCCTCGCCTCTGTCAGGAGGTCTCCGCTGAGCGTCTGGCCAGCGGAGAGCGACCTATCTAGGGCCCCCGTGATGAAGGCCATGTTGTTAGCCAGAGCGACGACCTGAGCCACGTTGGCCTAACACCTGTCCAGCATAGCCAAAGACATCCTGTCCCGCTCGGAGGGAAGGAGAGGTCTGGTGCCGGGCCACACGGATGCGGAGGGCAGCAGAGCCATGCGGACTGAGTCCTCGATGTCCGGGACCCCGCCGGTCCAGGACCAGTCCTGCACGCTGCAATACATGCCGTACCCCAGAGCAGGCCTCTTGGCTGCTAGGGGCTTTGGCCACTCACGTGTTGCGTAATGGAGGATCGGGTCTATCGCGGGCACAACGTGGGTTGTTTTCTCCTCCTGCCTCGAGTGGTGGCGCCCACCGAGGTGAAGTCCTCCACCGCCTGGTCCGGCTGCGGTGGTAGAGGAGCATTCATGATGGCCGCCGCGGAGGAGTAGAGACCGGGCATGTGATCTAGTGGGAACCGGTCCGGCTCCGGGTTTTGCGACACCACCTCGTCCAGGGTGAGGAGGGAGCCGTCCTTCGAAGCTTCTCCAACCTCGCAGTCTCCCCATTCCGCGGGCACGGGAGGAAGGTCGATATGGACCCAGTCGATCTCAGACTCCTCGTCCTGAGAGGAGTCCGGACGGGGCGCTGTAGCGGCGAAGAACGCGCGCCTGCGTTTGCTCTCCTCTTTGGGGAGAGCGAGACACGAGGCGCAGCTAGCGCTCACCACCGCATGGCCCGAGCCCAGGCACATGAAGCAACTGGCATGCTGGTCCGTGCGCTGGAGCCTGACCTGACAAGTCGAGCAGCGACGACGTCCGAAGCCGGAGGGCAAAGGGGAACTCGGACGAACAGTTGAGGCAGACATCTCAGCAGACAGGTAGATGTAAGTAGTAGAAGCAATGATCTCAATCGGCGCCAGAGTAAAAGAGGGGGCGCGGCCTTGTGCAGGGGCTTTTATAGAGGAGGGTCGCTAGTGATTGGAGCATATATATATATTTTGATCTCTCTGGTGTGTGACCTGGGGGTCACGTGATATCCCACTAGCGAAGTCCTAAGGGACTAAGGATTAGATAACTATATGGCCTACGTGCACCTGATGGTCCCAGAGGCCTCCCATTACAGTACAAACCAGGCCCTGCCCTGATTAGCTTCACAGGTTTGACGACATATGGCTTTCACATGATACTGTAGCACGTTACGTTTTCTGCTATGCTCCTGATAATGATTAAATAAAGTTCTGACTAGTACTGTGTCTTTGTCACAGAGGGCAAATGAACTGGTTGTTTAATAGTTTTTTCTAAAAGTATTTTTGCAGGTTTTTATTTGAGTGGTGTGCTTTATTGACATTTTGATCTTCCCCACCGTCTATGGTGCATGAGACTCTCCCTGCAAATTGGATGCATGCTAAAATTACAGCACCTGTAACTCAGGAATGTGTGATGGGAGGCTCATACATTTGTTTTCTGAGGTATTTTTGTGAGTCTTGTTTTATCTGCAGTTTGTTGTGGTTTTGGACACAGATATGAGCCATTCAGACGACTTTGCAAACAAGTTAGTTAGTGGAGAGATGAAATTGAGCTAAAATATCCTGTTGTCTGTAGCCAGCTTGAGGGGAGCGAGGCTTTCTGACCACCAGCGATCATCAACATACACACTATCAGACTAATTTTCCTTTTAATACAGTTGGCAGACTTGTGTGTGATTGTTTATTAGGTATTGCTTTGTCAGCACTTTGGAAACTTTTTTATTAAAAGGGCTTCATAAGTTAGGTCATGAAGCAGCTATGATCTTCAATATTTTGGGGACCCAGACCACATGAACTTCAATGCAATATACGTCTATGTGGACAGATTACTACAGCAACAGTTGTGTAGTGGATTACAGCGACAAAGGGGGCGGGGCTACACAAGGGGGGGATTCTGGGGGGGTCATAGTTGTATGCAGTGTTGATGACAGTTTGGTATTCACCCACACGTCTCCTGCATACACTCAGTAAATGAAGCTAACAGTAACTCCTATTTAACTGGACTACAATGTCACACACCTACATACACACCAACGTAGACATACACACACTTATACACTTGTACACACACATGCATACACACACCTATATATGTACAGTATATATGCACACATATTCAAGTAAGTAAGTAAGTAAGTAATCTTTATTTATATACCGCCTTTCACAGACCAGAGTCACAAAGCGGTTTACAATTGTTATTTTTGGGCACTTGTCCTCTCACTCCACACAGAGATGGGAGCGGGGTCGCCAGAACAGGAGGCACATGCCAGACCTATTGTACATATTTTTTGTGGTAGGGGAAACCGGAGTACCCGGAGGAAACCTACGCAGACACGGGGAGAATATGCAAACTCCACTCAGAAACACATCTATATGTGGCTGAGTGGTTAGTAATCTCTTGTCAGCAAGAAGGTCCTGGGTTCAACTCCCTGTTGGAACAGGGTGGAGTTTGTAGGTTATCCCCATATCTGCTCCGGTTTCCTTCGAGTGCTCCAGTTCCCCAAAAAAGTATGTACAACTCTAGCTCCGACCATGACCAAGCCAAGCATCAACATCTGGAGATGGGTCCTGGGCACTGTTCTACTCCTGACAGAGGACAAGTGGCTTTGAAATTCGTCCAGCGAATGAAGTCATTTGAATGGTCAATACTTGTATGGCTGATATCTGTATTTACAAAGACAATATCAAAATGTAAACACCTGGATCACAGAGAACTCTAAACCATGTTTTTGAAGCCTAAAATGGAGAGCGTGACACAGATGGCTACTAAGCTAGAGGTATTTACTTTTCGATGTAAGTCAATCAAAGTCCGAGAGAGTTGGAGAAAACTTTGTCCACAAGCACATGAAACTGGACTTCATTGAGGGGGTTAGCATTGTTCGTCTATATACAGTCCATGGCATGGCTACACCGCACTCCTGGAACTCTGTCTCCTCCTTTTTTTGTCTACATATTCTGTTAGTACAATACAAATTATTCTTGTACAGCCCAAAATCACAACAGAGGTCATCTCAGAGGACTTAACAAAACCATTAAAACCACCAACACAGATCAGAGAATCAACAGTTAAGACACAAAAAGAACATAGAACACATGTTGATAAATGTGTCGCTTCTGTCAGTGTGCCCCAGGGCCGCTGTGGCTACAGTAGTAGTTTATCACCACCATGGAGTGAATGAATAATCACTTGTGAAGCGTCTTTGAGTGTCTAAAAAAGCGCTATATAAAACCAATGCATTACTATTATACATAAATGTTGTAGAAAGTTAAAGTGTCCTGGACCATCACCACAGTCCTTCTTGTTGGACAGTAACTGCCCAACAGACCCTCCTGCATCTGCAAGGAAAAACTCATGAGAAAAACTCAGTGGGAAAAAAGTGAGAAACCTCGGGGAGACCCACATAATGGGAGAGGGATCCACTCCACAAAGACGGAAGGGCTAGATCCAGGACCTAAGCTACAGAACATGGACCAGGGCAGTGCAGTGGCCGCAGAACGTGGACAGGTCCGGTGCAGGACTGAAGCAACTCCCAGGCGGGTCGTGCAGGGCAGTCCGCAGGTGTAGATGGAGGAGACCAGAGTGTTAGAGTGTTCATACATGGCTTTCTTAAAACCTCTGCCCTTTGTGAAATCATGTTTTCTAGTTTTAGCTACTATTATGTTATGAGCTTTTTGTGTCAGGTAACTTCAAGGATTTCCAGAATGTTAGAGTTACGGGGCACTGAAAGAACAGGAGAGTAATAGTAATAATAACTGAAATTTACCAAAGAATATCGGTCTAAAAACATGCCGGTGGCAAAAGCTCTGAAAACGATCTTTGACCTACACTTGTACTCACCAGACTTTATTCATGAAAAACACACACGTGATGAATAAAGAGTTGGTTTAACTTGTGAAAGTAAAGTTTTCTAAAAGCTTGAATGTCAAAGTAAATAACGAAATGTTCCACCATCTCTCCAAGGCTGCTTCCCTTTACTGTTTTCCTAAAACAAATGTGTATTCAAACATTTCAAACAAAACCATTTGTTGACTAAGAAAGACTGACAGCTCTAATGTACAGTTGACACAAAGATGAGGGACACATGACGTCACACGCGCATTGCCACCATTGGCCGCGCGTGGATGCTCTGTGATGGGGAGAGGGAGGAGGGGGAATCCTAGTCCTCGGGAGCGCCGTTTGTCTCACTCCCCTGTGCGCTCCGGAGCTGTACGCACGTCTGTCCCGGGACCTCGCCTTAACACATCCATACGCTACTATACTTTACTTTCACTTTCACATCACACCGGGACCCTGCATGCTTCTCCTCGCCTCGGCAGCACGCAGCAGCTCGCTCCCCGCGCAACATGGAGAGCCGGGTCCTCGAGCAGCAGCAGCAGCAGCACCATCATTACCATCATCATCACGCCGCGTTTGGAGGCTCCATCGGCGGGCTGCTGGGCTTCCCTTACCCGCTAGCGCATCATCATCCGCGGCCACAGCAGCAGCAGCAGCGGCCCAATTCCGCGCTTAACTTCTCCATAGATGGATTACTGCTCCACGATTCACATGGATTCGCTTATTCTGGTAAAGAGTCGTTTTTCTGAGTAGAAATGATTTTCAAGTTGGGAAGTACGAAAAGTCATAATACTTTAATTTGTAATACATTAAAATCAGGCGCAATATGAATTCTACCTCCAAATAAATTATAAAAAATAATAATGATAACATATGATTTTGATAATAATTGTAACGCGTTTTGAACCGCTTCTGGCTGTCTTCAAAAGTGAAATTGTGAAATAAAAATATAGATGACTTATTGATCCAATACTAATGCCATTAATCATACATTCCTTAACACATAAATACGTTAGTTAGAAATTGTGAGTTGAAAGATATGTTTGTTTGATTTTAAGTATGTTTTAACGTATTACAAATGTTTAAACCCTTCGCACTAAATTCACGTTCTGTCTAAGTTGGTTGAAATTCTTGAATACTTGAATAATGATTAAAACATTATATTTGTTTAATAAGGCCTGTAGCATTGTTATAATTTTGTATTTTCATAGATTTACATTTACTTGAATGAAAAACGCAGATTTTTTACGAGCTAATTTGCGCGGATTTGAAGACAGCGCTGTGAAAAGAAAAACTAAATCTTAAAACTAATAATAGTAATAAGAGATAAGAATGGTAATCATAATAAGAGTGATAATAATACAAAATAATAGTAGTAGTAATAATAATGATACTATTTGAAATGGATTTTGCGGATGACGTTCTGATCCGAGAGAAAATAGGCCTTAACCATTTTTATTATTATTATAGTGCTTGAAGATTATTCTCATCTGACTAAAATTAGCTGTATTTTTAATTCTGCAAGAGGCCTTTGCTGAAGTCATCTACGTCGGGCTGTAGTATTTATGATCAATGTTTAAAAAGTGTGATTTGTGTCTAACATAAAAAAGTAAAAAATTGTCTTACATCAGTTTTGAGCGTTATTAGATTTGCAAAGGACTTCTGCATTTACCAGAGGTTTACTGGTGACTACTGCGATTAATCTAGCCCTAGTCCAGTTTACCACCAAGTCTTGTACTTTCACAAAACCCAAAGTACACTGTGTACTGTATCAAGACATGGATTTTGTATATTTCCTCTGAATCATGTGGATAATCTTAAAAATGATGTTGATATTGAACCAGTAGATATTGTTCTGTAAAAATAAATGCGCTAAAATAGGTGAGAACAGAAAATGACATGTCTTTTTACATAAAGACATGTCATTTTCCCAAAATAATCCTTTGGCACAGTACTCTTTTAGTTCATTATAATAGGAACCAGGAAGGGCCTCAAACACTGGGTTTTACAGGTTTATGAATCTACTTTTACTACACAGTAATGACTCAATATTATGTTCTGTATATGTCTCATAAACAAAAATACAAACATATTAATTAAAAATATGGCCCTTCATCACTGGGTCACTGCGGGTCTCTCTGATGTTTCTGATGCCTCTTGGGGCTTGGAGTATTCTTCCCCGATGCAGAGGCTGTGGACAGGGATGATCCGGGACATTTATGGACTTTGGACATTTATGACTTCTGAATCGTTTTGATCTTTTTTGTTGTTGTTACAATAAACCCTGTAGCCTTACTGTGGAGCAAGATCTATAAGAGCTCGACCGCGATTGAGAGATTATTCACTATCAAGCACTATCATGTATCAGTAAAAAATAAAACATAACATGTGCCGGCTCCTTTGCTCTAAACTAGTCTTATGTCTTCAGTCAACAACGCACGCTGTGTTTTCAGTTTGACCACTGCATCTGAAAGCCTGATCCCGTTAGGCCTCCTGGTCAGTACTGGGATGGGAGACCCCTTAGGCAAGAGTCCCCCACAGGAGTCCGATCTGTGAATGGCAGAAAGCATTTTGACAAGTTTTTTGTTTAAGTGTCAGATATTAGCATTGTTGGACCTAAAAACTTGTTAGTCCTCATCCAAGGACATATTGTTGAAGCGTGGCTAAAAACTCAAAAGATCCTTTTAAAAGAAGCTGAATGAATAGCCGTGATTGCAAATGGTCATTAATTTGTGTGTGTATATATATATATATATATATATATTATATATATATATATATTGTTGTTGTTTTTACTTCCTATCTAAATGATTGCATTTGTAAAAAAAAAGAAAGAAAAAAAGGTAGATAATATTGTACGAAGCTGTGTTTATGGCATTAATAAAGATCTTCGGTTTCTGTCCTGTGGACATACGCCACTGTTCGTCAATCTAACGTATGAATAATGCATGTGGACACAGACGCTCCCTTGGGTGCAGTGAAATCCAAATGAATTACAGCCTGTTTTACTCAAAGCTCAAAAAACATTTCTCACAAAAATACAAATCAGAAAGAATTGCAGTGGAATTACACAATGCTTGATTGAAGATGGCCTATGTCGTCTATTTGATCACAGCAGAATTTTATTAATAAAGTCCAACACACTCTGTGGGGAAGCATTTAAGTAAAGAAAAGTAAAATAAAGATAAATACATGAGAAGAACCTTCTAAGCCGTATAGATTCACTAGTGAAGTGAAAAGTGTTTAAAGCACAGCCTCTGTCCTCGTTCTACAGCCTGTCTGTCCATGGGAGTGGACCCCTCTCAATATTGCCCTTCCTGAGGTTTCTCACTTTTTTCTACGGTGTTTTTTGAGTTGTTCCTTGTTGATGCAGGAGGGTCTAAGTACAGTGATGATCCAGGACATTTATGAACATTTACTTATACAGTGTACAGACTCCCTGTGAACCAATGGTTGCTATGTGCTTGTTATTATTGCATTATCAGTATTCAAACTCTCTGTGCTTGGTGAATTGACAAAACTTATAAAGTCCTCCGAGATGACTGCTGTTGTGATTTAGGACTAAACAAAAATTAATTTATTTTAATTGAAAACTCAACCAAACTAGTGTGAGAAGTTTGAAAAAAAAGTATTTTGACAGAAGGCGCGGAACGACACGTTTGTGCACAAGGAATTGAGTGTTTGCTTTTGATTGTCCTCACCGTGAGCGGGCTTGCCTCACCACAAACCTGCCCCATAAATGTTCTTGTGGCTGTAATCTCCACAGAACAGCATTAAACATATGGACTGTAATTGAATATAAACCACTACTTTTTTCACTTTCTTTGGACCCTGCGGCCGATATAGTGATGCGGCCAGTGTAAATATTTGTATTGTTAATCATGTCATTTCTATGAGAAAACTGAGAATCAGAAGCCACCCCACAACCAAGTGTTTAAAAAACACTGTGAGAACAATTTGGCATCTAACCCACCTTGGGTCAAAGTCTTTTAGATAGCCGTCCGTTATAATGGGATTCCCTGAGGTCCTGGGTGCACTGCTTTGTGAATTCAGAAGACTTATTTTGAAAGCCTGAAGTTTGTTTAAACAAGAGCTTCATTAAATTACTATAAAAATTGCGACATTTCAAATGTAAAAATCTAAATGATTTGATATAGCCATGTTTTTATCAAGAACTGGAGTGTTAAGAAGGACATATATTCAGCTGGATAACATTTGCTGATTTGTAAGCGAATGTACTGACTCCAACTGTCCAAACAAAAAACATATTAATTTGTTTATTTTATCAAACTAACCATAAATAAATAATAAACCATAAATGAATACTAAAACTGTAGGTTTTTGTTTACTACAAGTAAATTCATCTAAGTTATACAGTGTTGTCCTCTAACAGGTTGCACTGTCACTAAAAGTGTTCTTGTCGGAGTGGAAAACTCCTTTAGAGCAGGAGCTTAAACACTCTTCTTCAGCACTTTTCCCTAGTTCCTGTTATGTGCAAAAGGTACCAGGAACTGGAAAAGGTTTCTATACATAGTTCCCACATTACGTCACTACATACGGGGATTTGCCGACCCGGCGCCATTTGTGTTGGCATGCTGTGGGCAAAACAATAGAAAAAGAAGCTGAAACGTGTTAATGTCGTGATAAAGTTGAAAATGGTCATCTCCTGCTGGGTCAATGGATGTTCAAATCGTGCCGGAGGTTCCGTTAAACTTGGATTTTACAGTATACCCATCATTAGACTTCATGAATGTGAGAAGACTAAGCTTTTGTCAGAACAACCACGGAGGTTATGGCTTGCGAAGATAAACAGGCAAGAAACTCCCTCAAAACACGCAAGAATATGCTCGGAGCACTTTGTGTCAGGTGCGTATCGTATCTTATAATGTGTTGACACACGTAATTTACTCAGTACTAACTTGTGTATGCTGATATCTGGTAACTTGAGAGTTTCATTATTTAGATTACTTTATTATGAGGAGGATCGGTGTCGCGTCCGAGGCTCTCGAGGGCAACGTAAATGTATTAAATAGATAATAATAGTTCTATGGTGGGCTAAAACAATGTTCACAAACAGCATTGCTTCTGTAAAAAGATCTGTGTCATAAAATAAACTGCTCTTTACGCCTGGAAAAATCAGTTGCCCACCATTCACCAAAACATACGGTCAAAAACGCGGAAATAAACAATAACAGCAATCCAGAGTGTCCGTGTGGCATTAGCATTAATTAAATTAATTGTTAATATAATTAAAATAATTAAATGGAGCTCCAACTGGTATTAAATCTAAAGTTTTTGAGAAATGTTTGCATTGCTTGTTAATTTTTGCTGCATAATTTGATCAAATATGTAAAACATGTCCGTAGCACGTTAAACTGTGGTGCCATTGTATTAATATACAATTATTTGCTCAAAAGTTGCCCTTTTTTTCCAATTTGCATTTGAATATCTACATTTATTCTCATTCTTCTGTTTAATGGAATGCACAAACACAGCAGCGTGCCATCAAAGATGGCGTCTCCGAGGAGGTCATGTGACATTCATTGGTCTGTGGGAACTATGTATAGTGACACAGTGGTGCTTGTGCTTCACAGCAAGAAGGTCCTGGGTTCAAATCCACCTCCAGGTCTTTCTGTGTGGAGTTTGCATGTCTTCGTAGGTTTCCTCTTGGTGCTCCGGTTTCCCCTACCCCTAAAACATGTACAATATTAATGAATGTAATGAGAGAGTGAATGGCTTGTGATGGTCGGGGCTTCCATGCTCCAGTGTGTTTGGCGTCTTGCTTCTGTCATCACCGTGAGTGAAGTGAATGGAAAATACCGGTACACCAAAATTGTACAGTGCTTTGTGTGAGCTAACTCACTCACAGTGCAGTGACTGCGTTAGGCTGTTTTTGGAGTTTTTTTGTGTGTTACTAACTAAATTGTTTCTCATTATGTCTCATGTTCCCTCTGGACTTCTTGGCCTTTCCCATCACATCATATTGATATTAAACTGTAAAAACTGTAAATAGTTATTTATTTATTCAAAACCTGCACAATATATTCTTACTTACATTATTTCCTGTGAACTATTACCTGTGAACACAGCTCTTTTAGACATTCATAATATCTGGTTTTATGTCATTACGTTACGCGTTTTACTCCATTAGCTTACTGGTTGTAAATCTGCAAATATTTTTTTCTCAGGATTTCCACACGGAGAATTTGGCAGCATAACGCATTTGCTTGAAGGGGAAAAACGTGACGCGTGGCCAGGACTCTGTTGTGACCATGTTTGTGCTGATGTATGGGGAAAAGAATTGGACCAATTATCTCTATATATTACAAAAATTTTAATTCATGCATTTCACTGTAAATCCATTGCTCATTGATTTAGGAGAACTTAAACTGCAAGACTTGATTAATGTAAAACTGCTCAAATAATGCTTAGTGCAAGTGGAAACTCTGCAAAACCTAATTTACAAAACTGGAAAGTGTATGTGCCCAACAACGTTACAACAACGTTAAAATCAATGAGTTACGATTTGGAATGAATTAACGGAGGATTTGAAAACACGTACAAACCTGATTGAATTTTTATAAATGTTTAAAATAGAAGTATTAATGAAGAACGCAGATGAGAGAGAATGATACCTTCAGCACAAAGAGAGAGAGAGTATAGGGCCTGTGTGTGTTGTCTTGTGTTATACCATATAATATTATATTGTATAGCTGTTCGTTTTGATGTTTTTGTTTCAGTTTGTCTCGTCTCTGAATGTGCTGAGGGTGTGAGGGGGTTTCGGAAGTTTATAAGCGATTGCATCTGTTGTTCTGGTATTTTGTTCTGTAAAAATTCAGTTGTAGGATGTGTTTTTAACCGTGCTCTAATGTGGCTGCAGATGTGGGTGAGGCAGAAAAGGACGGCGCGGGCTGTAAGCGGCGGCGCACTCGCACTAACTTCACCGGCTGGCAGCTGGAGGAGCTGGAGAAGGCCTTCAGCGACAGCCACTACCCAGACGTGTTCATGAGGGAAGCCCTGGCCCTGCGCCTGGACTTGGTGGAGTCCCGCGTGCAGGTGCGCCCACTGCACACACACACATGCTGCTGCACACGCACAGCTGTTGTAGAACCATTCAAGTTTGAGTCATTTTTATTCTCACACCAACACGCCCCTCTGACCACTTGGCTTTTGAGCTAGTACAGACTAAACTAATCTGAAGCAAAGGACAGAATACAGCATTGCGCAAAAATAGTTTCCAAACACAGGGCCTGTGTGCTGGGTTGGGAGACCTTTGGGAACGGCAGGTGCCACGAAATGTCATTGTGTCTTTAGGCCTCAATGGTGGTCGGAAAACTCAGGCTACAAATGAGTAGCCTTGCTTCAAACTGTCTGCCACAGGGCAGCTGTGGCTACCACAGTAGTGCACAAAGTAGTGTAGAGTACTGCACAAATGAAAAGTAGATGTAGCTGATGTTTGTTTTTGTTTGAGTTTATAAGAAATATTTAAAGAGAAAAAGCTCCAAAGTGTCTCATAATAACACACATTCCTGTGTGTGGCCCTTGCAGGTGTGGTTCCAGAACAGAAGGGCCAAATGGAGAAAGAAGGAGAACACAAAGAAGGGCCCCGGACGCCCCGCGCACAACTCCCATCCCACCAGCTGCAGCGGGGAGCCAATGGGCCCCGAGGAAATCGCCCGGAGAGACAGAGAACGCGCAGAGAAGAAGAGACGAAAACAGGAGCGCAAACTTCTCAGGGGCCACAGGGGCCCCACAGAACTGCACACACCAGGAGGCTCTGAAAGTGACAGTGGAGTATCCCAGTTCACCGACTCTGAGCAGGGGCCCCTCCACATCAGGCTTCCGGGCTCCAGGACCAGTGACTCCAGACAGCTCAGTCCTGTGCACCAGTCCAAAGACCCCCAGGGACCCACCTCTCCGCTCAGCACACACAGCCCAGGATCTGAGCCCGAGTCCCGAGTCCTGACCAAACACAACCCCTTCAGTGTGGAGAGTCTGCTATCGGACTCGCCCCGCCGCAGGGGCCCGGGGCCCGCCATGCTGATCAGCAAGGGACACTTCCTCCTCTACCCTATCACCCACCAGCCCTTGGGCTTTCTGGTGCCGCAGACTGCACAAAGGACCCCTGGGGGTCCGGACACACCTAACCCTGCGCTAACCCTCACAGACGCAGCCAGCCCACCACACATGGAAATAGAGCCAGAACAGAGGTGCCCCACTGAGGACAGGCCTGTAGAGCAGGGGCCCCAAAAGCTAAGACTTGCACAAGAAGGCCGCAGAGGAGACAGTGACATGGCCACAGTCTTGGGGCCAGGAGAGCCCTGAGGCGGGCCCTTAGCTGTGCTCCTGCTTACACCAAGACCACCTCTTTCTTCACATTCCAAAGTTGTGCTCAGGATCAGACTGTGGTTATTATGCTCTTTCTGAACATTAAAGGGCTCCTGGGGGCCTCATAAGCAGCTGCTCTGCTTGGGCCAATATACTGATGAAGACAGAACACTGAATCCTCAGATTCTATTGTAAATAAGAGAGTCATATTTATATGTGCTGATTTTGATAATAAACATATTGTTGCAGAATGTGTGTGGAGCTGTGCTGGGGCCCGGGGCCCCTGTTTATTGCCTTTACGAATGTATTGAGTGTGGGTCAGCTGAATGAGCACAGTGTCTCGGGGCCCGGGGCCACAGCTCCTGCCACAGAGTGATATGAAAGTCATTCTTCTCTGCGCTGCTGCCGCGGCTCTTATCACCGCGCTCATATCAAATCACACACAGACTACAATAATAGAATTAGCATGAAGCAGCCCGCTCCGACACGACGGAGCAGCTGCGTGTGTGATTGTGCGCGTGTGTTTGTGCGTGTGTGTGTGCACATGCTCATGAGCAGTGCTATCAGCAGGCGGCTGTATTAAGACGGATGCAGCAGATATGCACATTGTTCCGCGCCTGATTCTGATGTCCCCTGTTATCTCACTATTGATCACGTGTTCACATAATGGGACAGACTCGCCTGCCCGTCAGCCGCTCAGTGCCCCGGGGGACAGACAGGGGCCCGCAGTATCTCTGGGGAACCATTTGCACATGTGCACACACCCTCCAAGCATGTTCATTCAGCGAGTCACACTCTTTATTTGTTTGTAAACCTCAACAGTCGTGCAATCCAGGTCGTTCCCCGCTGCCCTCTGTGTGGCACACGTGACCCGACTCTGTCCAGCCGCTGACCCATGCCCTGTGCCTCCTTTGAGCACATGCACGCAGCAGAGTAAATAGTGTCGCTCTATAATGCAGCAGGCGCCTTCATTTCTCTTCTTAATCACCGAGCTGTCAGTGGCGCCGCTTTCAATTGAGCTGATTATCACACGTTCATTTCCCCGTGTGACAAATGTGCGACCCGAATATTAAACTGCACGCGCGGTAATGAGATCTGTGTGTGCGCATTGAGCACACCGCATCGGCTAATTTACCACACACACTATTTCCCCATCCGTCCCCCTCTGCTCTCCTGGGGCCCTTAAGACACAATGGACACACCAGCACCAGGACCGAGGAGCCCAGGTCCAAGAGCTCAGGACAGGCAGGCTGGACACAAGATACATAGATAGACACAGACTGGACTCTGCACACAGACTGGACTCTGGACACAGACTGGACTTTGGACACAGACTGGACTCTGCACACAGACTGGACTCTGCACACAGACTGGACTCTGCACACAGACTGGACTTTGGACACAGACTGGACTTTGGACACAGACTGGACTCTGCACACAGACTGGACTCTGCACACAGACTGGACTCTGGATACAGACTGGACTCTGGATAGAAAATGACAATGGGAGATCCTGCCCTTCTCTATCCGCACACACAGGACAGGAGCTCGTGGTGAGCACTCATGCTTCTCAGCAAGTAAGTCGGATTCTATCAAACCAAAGGCCTGGCTCAAACCAAGAAAGAGCAGACTCAGAAAATATAATCATCACAGTGAGTAAAGTATAGTGTGTGTTCATGTGGGTGGTCACAGGAACCAGGAGGAGCACAGGTTTAAGAGAATATACGATCTGATATCACCAAGTAATGAACTGTTGAGGATCAGGTTGAACCCTAACATTTACTATACACTTACATTGATACTGGACTGAACCAGAACAACTGTCTCTCTGTGTGTGTGTGTGTGTGTGTGTGTGTGTGTGTGTGTGTGCATGTGTGCGTGTGTGTGTGTGCGTGCGTGCGTGCGTGTGTGTGTGTGTGTGTGTGTACCAACATTATTAGGCTAATGTAGCAATTCCAATTGATAAGCATGACTAATAGAATAAGAAATGACTAGAAGGAACAACACTACCATCTAGCAAGAGAAAGGAGAAATTCATTTTTGCTAGATTTAGATCACAATCTCACATTGCATGGTCCTATGATAAAATTAACAAAACTAATTTAGAGGCAATACTTTTAAAAGGGAGAACATTTCTCCGCCCATGATCTTAACAGAAGGTTAAGAAGTCCGGGTGTGCTTGTGGCAGAAGTCCGTGACATTATTGTGGATGGAGCTAAAGGCAACTCCGGGTCTGTTTTGGAGGAGGAACAATGTCAAAAGAATATGAAAAATGCAAAAAGAAAAGCAGCGCTGTATCATATGTCTTCTTTAAATGGATGGAATGATTTGCCTGAACCCTGCACTAGACTTAGCACCCGCACTGATGCGTGTGGAAGGTCTGAGGAGGGTTCCGTTCCCCCGGACACCGGCACATCTGGAGAGAGCGTTAGATGCGCTTCAGCCTCAGGAAGTTTTCACACTTCACAGGTCATTAACCTGCGGACCTACAGGCTCCAGCTCGCGGGGGGGCTGAGTGATGGACGTGGGAACAGACTAAAGAAGAGCTGAAGAGTCCCAGGCCCCCACACGCAGCTCCTGTGCTACATGTGTGTGTTTGTGTATATATGTGTGTGTCTGTGCATGTTGTGTGTGTGTGTGTGTGTGTGTACATACATTGTTTGGGCCCACAAGTGTGCCAAAGTAAAATGTTGAACAAAAACCAACCACAACAGGCCATCTTCATTTCATTCCTTTTTCTTCTGCATACTTTTAAGAAAGAGCCTGCGAGTCACTATTTGACTCTTTGGGCTGAGAGCTGATTTATTCTCTTATTTATGATAAATTCTTGTTTGTCTGAACGTTAATCTAAACAAATTGTATTTGTTTTTCGCCCGTGTCATCAACAAGCCTTTGCAGCGGCACTGTAAATTTACGTCACAAGCTCACAACAACAACATGGATAATGGTAGCAGCGGTGGCAGCAAGTCCCGGTGATCCAAGATGGCGCCCTATTCAAATGAATGGCTTGTGCTCAGTAGTGCATGGGACTTCATGGAGACCAGGAGATTAGCTGAACTCGCCTATATTTGGGCATTGTCTGGTCCTCCCGGTTCTGCGCAGTGGATTAGCGCAACGCGTCGCGCCAAACGTGCGTGTGTGGCTTTCATGCACGCGCACAGAGGGGCTCGGCCGCGCTCTGACCAATCAGAGCTGATCATCAGAGCAGCAGAAGAGCGGAGCCAGAGCGGAAAGGCAGGGAGGAGAGTTTGTGGCAGTAAAGTGTGGATTTAAAGAAAACCGAAGGATTTAAGAAGAAAAAAAGTTCAGGATGACAAGGGACACTAAAATCCCCACAAAATCCGATCTTTCTGAAAGCTGTAGGTTCTGTGTCAGCTGAGGTCGAGCTGTTTTAATTTACATTGAGTTCTATGGGACTTTTTTCTGGGTAGCCCTCGTGAATTTAGTCTGCAGTACCACGGGCACTACCTGTGCCCGTAGGTGGGACAGCTTTAAGCTAGTAATACCCTATCCAGTTATTATTATAGATCCATGGGTGGCAGCGGTAGCAGCGAGGCTTTTAAATCTCCAAATGTGCGTTCGTCAGTCAGGAGATACTTCGGGTTTTGTAAAAAAGGGGGGGGGGAAATCTTGACAAAAGCTACTCTTCTCGCTACACTTCTCTTCGCATCTGTACCAACGCCACGGCATCGCTGGCAAAGCAGAAGAGTCACCCGAGGGAACAGCTTCCAAAAACAGTAACTGCGGTGCAAGAGCGGAGACCAAAAAGGTGTTGCTGCTATTTTCAAAGTTCTATACGAGCTAAAGGCTTCAATATGTAGCACTAGAATGTACAGTGCTCACTGCTCAACAAAAGTTTTGGACCACCATAAAGGATTTAGTAATACTATATCAAGAACTTCAAATTAACAGCATCCTTTTTATTTAATATTAAGAAAATAATCAATTGGAATAACGAAATAGTCCTTGTTAAGTCTGGACTTATTTCCATCAAATCCAGCTTCAGATTCATTCTTATTTAACCACTATAGAAATAAAAAATACATTATTTAATTTTGAACACTTAGGTGGTGCTGTAAAACATTTGTTAAGCACTGCATTGTTACACATCTGTTTTATTTTCTTTTATTCATGTGAGTTATTTATAAGTTAGCTCTTGGGTAAAATAAATGTTTTTGTTAAATTTGTAAAAAAGTTGTATTTCTTATTCAGCACTTTAAATCTGAGTTAGATTTCTAAGTTTGAATTACTGTAATTAGTTTATTTACAGAAAAAGCCAATATTACTGTATCAATATATCGTTCAAAATCTACTGTATCGTATGGAATCGTATTGTTTTAGAAATTAAGATATTAAGATGCACGCATGCTCAGTTGTTTGTTTTTGCGGAGCCTCCGAATCAAGCCTCTATTAGGCTCTGAAACTGTATGAAAACTGAACAAAGAATTCTGAAAATCCTCGCTGAGTTACCTATTTATATACTGAACCTAAATCCATAATCATTTATATACTGAACCTATATCCATAATCATTTATATACTGAACCTATATCCATAATCATTTATATACTGAACCTATATCCATAATCATTTATATAATGAACCTATATCCATAATCAGATCCTCTGCAGATGTGTCCTATGTTCACTCAACGTTAATAGCTACTTCCGGGTTTACCGCGATCGCTTTTTTCGTGGATTAAAACATTATTTTTTTCATTAAAACGTTAACATATAATTCTGAAAACCTCTGTGCATGTGTATTTATAATGTATAAGTATATTGTGTTCTCTCATTAACATTTAAATGTGTTACGGAAACGTAGGCATAGACCAATCAAAAAGGAAGGGGGAGGAGCTTGGGTCGTTTTTTTCAAATCCTGTACCTCTCTCTCTCTTTTTTCTGACAAACTCCAGACAATCACTTTAATGTGGCTAAAGAATAAACCTCAATACTTATTTTGCCTCCAAGAAACCTACTCAGCAAATATACAGTGCCTTGCGAAAGTATTGAACCTTTCAACATTTCGCCACATTTCAGGCTTCAAACATAAAGATATAAGAACTAAATTTTTTGTCAAGAATCAGCAAGACGTGGGACACAATCGTGAAGTGGAACAAAATTTATTGGATAATTTAAACTTTTTTAACAAATTAAAAATTGAAAAGTGGGGCGTGCAATATTATTCGGCCCCCTTGCGCTAATACTTTGTAGCGCCACCTTTTGCTGCAATTACAGCTGCAAGTCGCTTGGGGTATGTCTCTATCAGTTTTGCACATCGAGAGACTGGAATTCTTTCCCATTCTTCCTTGCAAAATAGCTCGAGCTCAGTGAGGTTGGATGGAGAGCGTTTGTGAACAGCAGTCTTCAGCTCTTTCCACAGATTCTCGATTGGATTCAGGTCTGGACTTTGACTTGGCCATTCTAACACCTGGATACGTCTATTTGTGAACCATTCCATTGTAGATTTGGCTTTATGTTTTGGATCATTGTCCTGTTGGAAGATAAATCTCCGTCCCAGTCTCAGGTCTTTTGCAGACTCCAAGAGGTTTTCTTCCAGAATGGTCCTGTATTTGGCTCCATCCATCTTCCCATCAATTTTAGCCATCTTCCCTGTCCCTGCTGAAGAAAAGCAGGCCCAAACCATGATGCTGCCACCACCATGTTTGACAGTGGGGATGGTGTGTTCAGGGTGATGAGCTGTGTTGCTTTTACGCCAAACATATCGTTTTGCATTGTGGCCAAAAAGTTCAATTTTGGTTTCATCTGACCAGAGCACCTTCTTCCACATGTTTGGTGTGTCTCCCAGGTGGCTTGTGGCAAACTTTAAACGAGACTTTTTATGGATATCTTTGAGAAATGGCTTTCTTCTTGCCACTCTTCCATAAAGGCCAGATTTGTGCAGTGCACGACTGATTGTTGTCCTATGGACAGACTCTCCCACCTCAGCTGTAGTTATCTGCAGTTCATCCAGAGTGATCATGGGCCTCTTTGCTGCATCTCTGATCAGTCTTCTCCTTGTTTGAGATGAAAGTTTGGAGGGACGGCCGGGTCTTGGTAGATTTGCAGTGGTCTGATACTCCTTCCATTTCAATATAATTTCTTGCACAGTGCTCCTTGAGATGTTTAAAGCTTGGGAAATCTTTTTGTATCCAAATCCGGCTTTAAACTTCTCCACAACAGTATCTTGGACCTGCCTGGTGTGTTCCTTTGTCTTCATGGTTCTCTTTGCGCTTTAAACAGAACCCTGAGACTATCAAAGAGCAGGTGCATTTATACGGAGACTTGATTACACACAGGTGCATTCTATTTATCATCATCAGTCATTTAGGACAACATTGGATCATTCAAAGATCCTCACTGAACTTCTGGAGTGAGTTTGCTGCACTGAAAGTAAAGGGGCCGAATAATATTGCACGCCCCACTTTTCAGTTTTTTATTTGTTGAAAAAGTTTAAATTATCCAATAAATTTTGTTCCACTTCACGATTGTGTTC